CACCTGGTGTACCACCAGGGGTCATGGGTGCACCTGCTCTTGGTACCCAGCCAGACATGCAGCCGGCCCAGCCTCTTCAGCCAAATCTGCCGGCACAGATGGCCGGAATGCAAAAGGCTGTACCTCCAGGGACCATGGGTGCCCCTGCCTCTTCACCAAGTACTGCAGGGTCCAAGCAAGGTAACAACTGGACTGTGTGAGGCGTCTCGGCATGCTGCTTGCATCTGCATGTCCCCATCTGAAGATGAATGAAAGTGGGAGCACGAAAATATCTCAACCCTATCGCTTAGCATCTGAACTGGCAGTGGTGCTCGCTGTGTTGTGCTGTCCGCTCTCTCAATTAGTTGCGCTTTCTTCCATAGTACAGAACTCATTTCCTACGATTTTCCTCTTACCTCGCTTCTCGTACAGCTTGCAATCCCGGACTGGCCTATGCAACTGGACGTGGAATAAGACCACGGGGTATACGTGCACAGGATGTCACTGTTTTCCAAGTGCACACTGAGCAGGCTGGTGAGGGCAATCTTGCGGTTAATATGAAGCGACCAGGTAAGTCAGTATATAAATACAATATTGTTTCGCCGGAAACTCTGTACTGAACGGTTTTAATACAAGTTCGGATTTTCTCCTATTTGAGTCTCCGCCTATTTCTGAAAGGCAATGGCAGATGTGCCAAAGGTTATTTGTCTAGTTTTACCCATTTTTGAGGTATCAATTTCAACTATTAGTTGGCTCTAATTTAGTTAAAATTAAACATTATCAGTCACGTCTGGCATTTAGTGCCGGGTGGAGTTTCAAGCAAACTTTCATCCTTAGCGTCCGTTGACAAGCAAAATAATTTGATGTCCTGTCGTGAGGAACACTCGATATTTTTAGATAATAACATAAAATAAGTCTCAATTTATCTAAGTGCGTAAGGCTTGGCTGTAGGAGTTGTCGTTTGTTTATTCTGTTTAACCGTCCAAAAATACTTTAACTGTGGACCCACCTGCCGTATTCTCGATATCTTGACATAAGATTCCACGGAATCCGGAAGAAATACTATCGCCTTACCGAATTCGGGCGTATTTTATTTCGATGAAGAGGGAGAGGACCCTTGTTTACGTTTGCCTTTTGTGTATTTTTAATGGCAGGGCTTACGTAGACCCTCCTAACAATAATCACGCGTAATAAGTTTTGTGAAGTTCCCGAATGTGCACGATTGCCATACGGTAGATTTAAGACCAGTGAATAGCTTTACAGGGACAATACATGCACTCGGTGCCGTCCACTATTTAAAAACATGTTTGTATTGTCATCTCCAAATAGGGAAGATTTTGTGCTCACATATCCTCGTTGAATTGTCCCTCATCCCTCTGTTTTTTCTTCGCTTAATTAACTTATTTCTTCCTCAGATGGCCAGCTTGAACCCGTGAAGGTTACCCGCATTTCAGATTATCTTTATGAGTGCACATACACCCCACAGCGACCGGGGCAATATGTCCTCGATGTGGAATTTGGCGATGGCCACATTCGCAGCAGTCCCTTCAAGGTGAGATTTTGATTTAAACAGATAAAGGGTGACTATGCCTGTACATATTTCCTCCAGTGGATATTCTTTGCTTGCTCTACTACCTCTACTCTCTAATTTGCCCTTTACTTTCCTTAGAAGCTGACTTATGGAATCTTTTGGCCCCCCTTGTAGATCGTCGTTGGGCCATATGTTAAATCCGCAATCCGCGCCTTTGGCCCGGGTCTGCACGGTGGCATGGTCAACGTACCGAACGTCTTTACAGTCGTGACAAACGGCTCTACCGGGGCTCTCGGTAAGTATCCTAATGGCCGCGCAATATGCTGGCTATGAACTGCTGTGAACCGCAAACCGAGCTTCCAAATGAAACCTATAGTGTCTTGGTCCGTCATTCCTCGACACACAGGAAGTTCGTACAAAACTTTGTAAAGCAGGCAAAATTTAAAGAACATTGCCGATACAAGCGAACATGCGAGTCCCAGGAAGTAATTGAGAAGAAGACGACTCGATCGCTGGGACAATACTTTTATCCGCCTGACGTTTCGACATCCTCGCGGATTTATAATCAGAGACATTAGCAGAAAACAGTAGCAGAAACGATAGCAGAACCCGTTTCTGCTACAGTTTTCTAATAATGTCTCTGATGATGAATCTGCGATGGATGTCGAAATGTCAGGCGAATAAAAGTATTGTCCCACTGATCGAGCCGTATTCTTGTCATCTAAGGAACATGTTTTTTAGAAGTTCCTGGGACGGGGCTGTCAAGAACCCGGGAGCTAATGCTATGTTTGAACCCCACATCTTTCCTAACTAATATTAGTTTGTGAAGTGACAATAGGTCTTGTTCGCCTCGCACAAGAAGTTACTCCTCAGTCATGTCCGATTTCTTCTTTCTGTTTAAGCTGATTGCCAAAAGGTAGGCTTAAGTGCTTAGTAAAATTAGTATAATTTTTGCCCTACACACTGTCTCCTTGCTATTTCCTCCCCTTCTCACTCTCAACCTATGCCACTATTTCCGCGAAAAAAGGTTTCTTAATCGAGGGACCCAGCGATGCAAAGATCACTTGTGAGGACAATGGTGACGGTTCTGTCCTCGTCGCCTATACTGTGTCGCAGCCAGGAGAATATGCCGTGCACATCACTTCCGATGATGAAGACATTCCAGATTCGCCCTTCATGGCCAACATTTCTCCCCAAATTGGTATTGATATTGAAAAGGTAGGTATTGGTGGCATTGATCATACGTCACCCCACATTCTCCTGTCCCTCAATCTCTTCTTCTCTTTAGCCTGTTCGCTAGCGATAAAGTCCTGGAAATTCGTGTGTTACCTCATCCACACGGGCCATAGTCTGATTCAAAATATCATGACAAAACACAGGAATAGCTACCCCCTACCTCTTTGGGAGCACTGCCCCAATTGTCAGGGCGATTAATGTGAAGATTAGGCTTGAACCAGTATTAGGGTTAGGATTAACGCTAGGATCCTAATTAAATTTAGGGTTAAGGTGAAGACTTGGGTTAGGCGTAGTGTTAGGGTTAAGGCTAAGGTTGGGACACGGGACAGTTGGGCTACGTGGAGTTTTGCGCCGGGCCATCTGTCTTATCTACCGTGTTCCTATTCATGTTTCTTGTTAAACGTATTAAATTAAAATTAGTCACATCATTATGCCATCGGACGTTTCATTTTCTGGGCCCCCGTGCGCGTACACTACCGCACATTTACTGATAGTTATTGGATCAAATACTCATTTTCATCGGAAATAACCAGGTTTCAGTGGTTTGTTCTAGGCACTTTCATTGCACATAGAAAGTTTCCTGTGGTAGGTCCAGGAAAAAAATGGAATTCCTATGATCACATTTTTTATTAGACCTGTTGTGGTAAGTGTTGCGAATACCCATTCATGTAGGTCGTATTTCATTATATTTATACGCACGTCTGAGCTAGGTTTCTAACATGGTCATATCACCCGACTGAACTAAGACGGAAACTGATAAATAGCATTCAACACATTAGGGTTCCTGATATTTGTGTACAAACTGTGAAGCCTTTCAAATCGCTACCTCTGTGTTAGCAAATAGCTCGGAAAGGCGCGCTTTTGGATATTTAGAAGAAAAGTGCGACCCATTCTGTGCTCTTCGTAATGTTATGCCATCCGTTCAAAATGTGAAAATTTTCTAAACTTTACACCGTGTTGCTGTGGAAAGGCCCGCCTTCTGTGTCTGAAGTTAACTTATACGCTAAACGCTGACGCTTGAGTTGGTAATGTAAAACCTTGGCTGCATTCTGAAGTCGAACATGGACACTGAGGTAGTTCAGTAGCAAACAAATTGCGTAATTAAATGCTTCATGGGAAAACGCTTAGTACATTGATTACTTTCCAGCCCATTTAGTCATTTAGTATTCCCGCTTCCCTGAAAGATGGCGCAAAACGAGGAATTTACATATTTCGTGAGT